ATATCTTTATGCCTCAGTGATAAAACGCAATACATAGCAATGCGCACCAGTCTAGCCGGTGCGGTCATGCGTTTTGTGCAATCCCGCTTACCGAACTATTGCCTATCAATGATTTTCACTGCTTTGTACTTTAGCCCATGCAAAAACATTAGAACGCTGAAAAATAGCTAAAAATTTCACCCACTGGCGCATGAAAGCTGAATTTGAAACCCTGAAGAGTGAATACCCTTCCGTGATTCCCGAGATAATAGTTTACCCGCCAAAATTTTCACGAGGCCGTAAGTGGTACCCGAGGGCGCGGGAACGCTGGGTTTGAATTTGCAGGGTCATACGTGGGCAAGAGGCCATTACTCTAAAATTTCAGCTTCCTAAACTCCGTGGTTCCCGAGATAATAATTTACCCGTTAAAAATTTCTCGGAGCCGTATATTTTACCTGCGGGCAGGGGAAAGCTGAATTTAAATTTTCTGGATAGAACATAGGTGAGGAACATGCCCACAAAATTTCAGCCTTCTAGCTTCCGTGGTTCCCGTGATAATAATTTCACCTGCTCCCACTCCCCAAACTTTTATTGGGCCGCACGTGTTATCTGCTGGTGCGGAGGGGCTGAATTTACACTTGCGGGGTTGCACGTGGGTGGGGAACATTCCTTTAAATTTTCAGCTTCCTAGCTTTTATGGTCCCCGAATTGAAAGTTGCGGGCAGGTTGCTGCGGACACACACGCAAATACACACACAGACAACCCCGCGACAATAAGCGTTTTGTGCTGCTGTTACACAGCACAGTACGAATAAAAATGCATATTACTGAGGGATTGTGTGTGTGTGTGTGTGTGTGTGTGTGTGTATGTGTGTGTGTGTCTATCCGCATATTTCAGTTTCTCGATGAAACTAAAGTTTTGACAAATTTAACTACCCCTGTTGGTCGATTTGCAATAGCAAAATAAACGTTCGCATCCTTTTGTTTTTCTTGTCGGCTGTATTAAAGATATTTTTCGGCAGAAAGCGGGGTATCGGAAACCACTCACGATAGAAAGCTGAAATTTTACAAAGATATTCGTTGTCCATGTGTTTTTAGGAGGATTTAAATTCAGCTTGAAGCATGCCTAACCTGACTTGCAGTCTCTTGAAAGTCCAAGTTGGAGCGCTTATTTTAGCCCGGAAACCAGGCTGAAAGCTGTAGTTTTAGGCGAATCTTTGATGTCTATGTTTGCGCCCGCAAGTGTAAAATGAACCTTTGCGCATGCTTATTTCGCGAGTTTTGATTCATCAAAATTCAATTTGCGAAACTGCTAGCATCACCCTCGGGAACTGAATGGTCTAGCAAGGAAAAATTATGCGATCACATTACCTATTCGTCTGCGGCTCCAGACTTTTTCACATGCCTACATCTCGGATGCCGAGGCATTAAATTTTTCAGGCTGCAAAACTATTGGCCCAGACGGAGCAGAAAGGTGCTTTTTAGGTGAATTTTTGCCGCCCATGTGGCAGTGCAAGCTAGCAGATAAATCCACGTTCATTTGCAAAATTATCGACGTACTCCTCTCACAGTATTCAAGTATACTATAAAAGTGATGTTTCACGAGATCTCATAGTACAACATTTCCTTCTCAGCCGCCACCTGTTCACAGCGTGCCATAAAAGACCGCCAGGAATATGGGCGTGCATAAACAAATTGCGAAGAAGCAAACTTTTTTGCCCATAAAGGATCTTATTATGTTTACGAAACCGTGCAAGAACGAATGATCACATCGGCAGCCATAGGTGGATCCAGGACGATCTCCTGGGAGAGGGGCGGGGGATTATTTTCCACCTCCCTTTATCCCTTCCTCACTACACCCCCTCGGCCAGCTCGCAACCCCCCCTCCCCGATCGTCGCGCTGCC